AGATCTGTACAAGAGTGTAAAAAGAGTCGATCCCTCTTGCTTTATTGCGGTAGATAACAGGGACACTGTCATACAGTGGCTCACAGATGGAGAGTTAGCTGCTAGCAGCAGTTAGCGAGAGCATCAGTCTCCCTTCTAGCTGTCTGCGAGCCTTCGATCAATAGACCTGGATTATCATCTCCAGCATCTCAGTTCATTTTTCACAGCAGAGAAAGCCGCCACCAGCTACTCCCTCTTTGTCAGAGGATGTAGGGCCTAGTTCACCCATCTGATAACTAACCACCACATCTGCTGCGTTCAAGAAGGACGTGTGGGCACTTTTTTCCCTTACCGCGCGTATCGGTACATCAGTAAATGTTTATTTAAGAGGCTGCCGAGCTAGTCAGTACAACAGTCACATCAGAGATGGGAATCCCATGACTACCCATGCTTAATTAAATGTTTAATTAAGATGGTGTTTTTAATTAAAAAGTTGATTATTATGAAGTGAGGATTTTTGCCAAATTAAATAGATAGAATATCACAGAACGCAACCCCTATCGTTATTAAAAGGGAGATGAGATTTATTTTTGAGTCAGCAACTGTTAATTTGCTTAAAGGGCAAAAGATGCCCTTTAAGTTAAAGGAGTGTAATGAAGTAAGCTCGAATTGAAGGCACTAACATTTAAGACACTGAGTAGTCTTGGCTGGGGTTTTCGTTTGCATGGTGGTGCATTTGGCTCAGGGCGATGCATTCATCTAATACTTTGAAGTGTGAACCAACAATGCTGCTCTTGTATCTTCAAGGTCACCCCACTTGTAACCACTCGCCACAAGGGCCCTCGTCACAAAACAGACACAAGATCCACTTGAATCTTCCCACCATGTAGGCTTCTGAACTTCAGCAGGCTGTACATGCTCAGATGGTCTTTGCGGGCCGTGGGGTCGTTTCCAGTTGTTTCTCTTTTAGTGCTCTCAACTGCGCGGACACCCGCCGCTTTGCATTCATCTCGAGAGCACATCGATCCACTAAAGGTTGCCAAGTCCTCTAAGCGATGGTTGTAAAATTTATGCCCCTATACAGTTGCTGGTAGGTCTGAAGGATGTTAAAGACATGGGAAGAGCGCACATTGTGAATGAGGCCATTCATTTGTAATCTGCAGGATTAAAGCGCTGCCTATCAGCTGCCTCTGTCACTTACTGTACATTGCACCTTCCCTTTCTCTGTTGGCATGCTTTGATTGGGATCTGTGAAAGCAGTGCCAGAGTCATGTGGGATTTTGAGGTGACAGCCCATATCTTTTAATCCTATTAGTTTGGAAGTCCTCTTCCCTGCCAAATAAAGCAAAGGCTTTGTATGCCTGCCTTAAATCAATCTTGCTCATAAAGTTTGGGTTCTTGTTTTGAGTGTCTTGGCTGCATTTTTCATACATATTGTGGCTCTGAGATCAAAAAGACTGCCTGCAACACAGGCCAGATTTCAAGAATAAATTGTGTTTATTAAAGACCTAAATCTTGAATTTGTATTCCTTAGCTCTAAGACCACAGCATTGTCAACCGTTCATGGTAATGCCGGTATATTGTTAGGCAATGATAAGAAAATGAAATATCGCAATAGAATATGAGTAAAACGCGCATGCGCAGTGCCTTTGTTTTCATACACACATGGCGGAAAAAGCATGGCGGCGACGGAGAATGAGAGGGTGAAATCGGATCGTTGAATGAAACAGATGAACCAGAATTGGTTTGTAAAAATGCTGCAACTTCAGTGTGGAACTGGTTTGGCTTTCGTCCCTCAGATACACAA